ATTTACCCACATTTATCACTGTTTACCATTTGTTGGACTCGCCGCGTAGGCGAGTATTAGGTAGTTTGGGCATAGATTGTATATTCAGTACTAAGTAAAATGTTACTTAGTAATACAATCTATGGTTTGGTTGTCTGTCACCATGAATTTTTAATTAGATTTTTAAGAAACTTTTTTAATTAAAAAACTAAGTGCTCTAGGCTTATAGATCTTTCTCCCCAGCTACTCCAAGCCTTAATTTATCAGCTAAAAATGTTTAAAGAGCAGCGCTAGAGAGAAGAAGCTCGAAAAGTAAGAGTGAAAAAAAATAAAAAAATACAGCGATTATGCTGACACTCTTGAGATAGACAAAAGTATTTTCCAGTAGAAAACTACCTTCTAATTCATTAATATGTGTAGATTTTCTTAATTCTTACTTGGTAAAAACTTATGCTCCAAACTTCATCCTGGCCGCATGTCCAGAAATTAGAGGACACGGAATTTAATTTTTCAGTAAAACTCCGTAAATTGTAGGAAGCTAAATGTAGGCGACATGAATGGAAGAATAGGTTTTCACTCTTCTCCTGAAGGATTGGAGCAGAAGCAAGCTTCATTTCACTTAGCATACTATGCTACAACATATGCTCAATATTTTGGTATAGAAATTTTGTGGCAAATACCATGCTGAAGTGTGGAATTCTGAGCTCAAAGACAAGGACTATTGACGCCGCCATTTTACATTCATTTACATGTACCGTATTGTTTTATTCCAAATGTAAAGCAGTATAATTTTATTTCTTTTCATATCTGGCCTTAAGCCTGGTTTCCATATAGCCATACAACAGCCTTACAACACTGTTGCAACAATCGTGGAGATAGAAATCAGGTCTATCTCTACAACAGTTGTATGCTAACCACAGAATCCACACAACAGCTGCAACTATATGGAAACCAGGCTTTAGTTTCACTTAGGACCATCAAATAGAATTCATAAGCTGTAATATGGTATAAAAATTAAGGAGATTGCATATGATACGGCTTGGGTTTTTGTGGCTGAACATGAGAAGTTTTTGCAATAGGATTGACTGCGGTTGCATCTTATAACATGCTAGAAGTACTAAAGTGATCAGAAAGCCTAGCAAACAAGTATGTTGAAGGAGATGAGGTTGTTTTCTGTCTCTTGAAGTCTGTATTGGCTATATTTGGAGCTATTATGGTTCTTCCCTTCAAATGTTTTTCTTGTGCCGTTTTCTTGCAATAGAGTACCTCACAGACATCTTGTAGTAATAGTTGTATTATTATACAACTAATTTCTCTTTCTTTTATATCACTAATTCTCCTCAAAAGCAAGTTATCATCAATAATAATGGTCTTTGCAACAGACCGCCATTTTGTTCCTATGGTAACGGTTAATTAAAGCATCATAATTATCAATGAATATTATTATAATTAAATGTCCACCCGTGCAATGACAATTTCTGGACATGGTTGGACTTTGGGAAGGGTTGGGGCGAAAATGTGGCAGGCTAGCAGTACTAGACTCTCTCAACTCTTTTAAATATATCTAGGCAGCAGTATTGTGCCATATAACTTGGCATAAGCCACTCGTAAGAAGAATAAAACTTAAGCTTCTTCAGTCACATGGCATACTAAGGCCATTTTATTGGCAAAGAAACCACGCCTCAATTAATAATTGGCAATTTTAGATGCCTGGATTGCTGATTGCATTTCTTAATACATAATTTTTTGTTTACTGTCTTATGCATGATCACTTAGGCAAATAAAATGTATCAAGATAACTGTATCTGTGCCATCATAATAGGTGTTAGTTTTAAAGCTTGTTTGATTTGAGTCAGTGCAAAAGATGCAGTATTAACTGAAAGCAATGAATCATGGTCATTATATCTCTATCATGCTGCATAATAGAGATGAAGCCCATGATTCATTGCTTTTAATAGTGCATAAATTCAAGAGTAACTGCGGCGAGTCCAAGCACCGTAGGTGTCTCGTTTACTTATGTTTATCGTTGTTTACCACGGTTTATCATTGTTTGCCTAGGCTTACTTATGTTTATCATTATTTGCCACTGTTTACTTATGTTTATCATTGTTTACAACTGTTTGCTTATGTTTATTATTGTTTACCGCTGTCTACTTATGTTTATCATTGTTTACCCCTGTCTACTTATGTTTATGATTGCTTACCTATGTTCATCACTGTTTGGCATTGTTTACCACTGTCTATTTATGTTTATCACTGTTTATCATTGTTTACCACTATCTACTTATTTTTATCATTGTTTACCACTGTCTATTTATGCTTATCACTGTTTATCATTGTTTGCCACTGTCTATTTATGTTTATCACTGTTTATCATTGTTTACCACTGTCTATTTATGTTTATCACTGTTTGCCACTGTCTACTTATGTTTATCACTGTTTATCATTGTTTGCCACGGTCTACTCATGTTTATCACTGTTTATCATTGTTTGCCACTGTCTACTTATGTTTATCACTGTTTATCATTGTTTACCACTGTCTACTTATGTTTATCACTGTTTATCATTGTTTACCACTGTCTACTTATGTTTATCACTGTTTATCATTGTTTACCACTGTCTACTTATGTTTATCACTGTTTATCATTGTTTGCCACTGTCTACTCATGTTTATCACTGTTTAGGATGATACAAGAGTTCTGTTCCCACACTGATGTTTACTAAATTAACAGTAAACTCTGGAGTTTGGCTAAATCATTGGTCTTAAATCAAGCCTTATCTCGAGAGATTGCTATGCCGTGGCTGTAGTGAAAGAGGATCTGTTACGGGCAAATTTTAGTTAGATTAAATTTTCATTGTCTTAAAATTTCGTTCAAATTTTTGGGCCAACGAAACAAACAAAAATTAGCACCCAACAAAAATTTCCTGCTATACGGTAACACTCCTCCACCAATCTCTGATAATAATAATTTTTGCACATCTTGAGTCTAGTAATGTAACACTCACCAGTAGCAGTACTGCGTGCATCATTGGTTCTTTTGGTATCATTACCACTGATCATAGCATTACGTTCTATAGAATACACACACATAGTCAATACTAATACAATCAGTGATATTAACTTACTCTCTTGATCTAACTTGTCAGCTGCAGCATTCTCATTCATAGATTTAAGAGCATCTGACAGTGAGTCAAAGGTAGCTCCTCCTTTACTGTCAACATTATCAGCTCTGGACAACCACTGGGAGAGACACTCTTTCAAGCATCGAGATACATCACCAGGATGATTTCTTTCAATAGCGTCCAGTGTGTTCTTGTGTAGTCCTAGTGTCAATCCTAGTTCCTTCCATCTCCTCTGAGGGAAACCACATCTCTTCAACAGATTAAGTACATCAATAAGTTGATCTAAAATCATATTCAATGATATATAGATAGTTAATGAACATTACCAATAGTCAAAGGAGAGGCGAAGAGACTCAGAGAACTAGAGGAACAAGAACTAGTTTTAGTTGCCATTAATGAAAGCCTCGGAGCTCGAGCAAATCACTAACTGGATTCAAGCTTTTAAAGGCTAGGGATGGATGGAAGGAATGCAAAGGGTGGGGCTCGTTATTTAAAATGATCACATTAAGGTATCAATTAATTTTGTTTATTTATTTTATCTATTTAACATATTGACAGAATGTGATAGTGGATTATTATTTATACTTTATTGTTCTCATCTCTCTCCTCCTATCCTTTCTTTCATTTTCTCTCTCGTAGGAGCTTGTAGCTTTAAAAGACTCTCATGTATTTAATGTAAGTAACGTTACGCAATGTATGTTTTTAAATGTCATTTATTAATTGATTGATATTAGAGAGTGTTTGATTGAGTATGTCAGGTTATTTTATTCCCTAAAGCACATGGTCAAGCACATGTTAAGTTTATAGTTGCAGGAGAAAAGAAACCAATACCTTCCAGTATGTAGTGGTAAGCCCAGTTGTTAGATGATAATCATAGGCCCTGTATATCTAGTGTCAGCACACATGTAACTGTACAAGCCATATTGGTAACAACAGCTTTTTAAGGCAGGCAGGGAGGTGAGAGTTTGGCCATTAAAAACGTTTTAACCCTCAGTTCCAGTTCTCAAGGCCGGGCTGCCTAGCCTGCTGTTCACCACGGCTTTCATGCTAACACAGTAACTGTAAATTTTGTCTCATGGTATGATAGCTGGTGTCTCTGAATCAGGAACAGAAGGCTCCTTAAGTTTGGTGTTGTTGGTTTAATTCATTTACTGCAAAAGGGAAGGGAAGAGCTAGATACCCAGGTGCCAAACCTTTACTGTCGTTGTGACCCACTCTCTGCTTCAAGAGAGATCTGGTTAGAGGGTTGGAACAACTGTTGGGTATAGTGTCCTTCAGTTATAATAATCTATCCTGGCTGAGCTAAGCTCGGTTCTATCTAATCTCTCTCTCTGCCTGCCTCCCTCTCTCTCTCTCTCTCTCTTTCTTTCCTTCATGTGAATAATGTACATGTGTTCTTGGCATGAGGGACGTGTTCAATCTGGCAGCACGTACATTTTAAAATTATTTTTTTTATTGGTAGTAATACAAATTATTTATTAATAACCTATTATGTACCGGTATATGAATTAATTACCAAAAGCGTAATCTGTTTTTAATAGTTTTATAATAAGGTAAAGAATAACAAGTTTGTCTATGTTTATTGTCTAGAGCTAGTGTCCATAGTGTATTATTGGTCCTAAGAGATTCCATCAGTACCAGTACTCCATCAGTATCAATGTTAGTACCATTGAGATAAAGGTAAAATGGTGTGTGGTTGTAGAGTAAAAGTTCAGCTAGTGACTGAGCACTGGTTGAAGTGATATCAGGATTGTAATTAAGACCTAAGGTAGTAGTTGTTTTATTATTAATTAATGATTGTGTTAGTGCAATGACTCCATCATCATTGATGGAATCATCACTGATCGATAGTGCCTCTAATGAAGTATTGTTTGTTATTTTGTGTGATAAGAGGATGACATCTTTTGTTATTTTAGTGTTATGTATACCAATCCATTTCATTGTTCTTATGTCTAATACTAGGGATATCAGTAGGTATACAATATCAGGTGATGAGTGATGAAGGATAATGTTCTGATGACTGTCCGTTAATTGACTGATCACTTCCTGACATTGACCTGCTGATGGTTTTTCAGGGATACACTAGTACTGATCCAGTCCACTTTTCCAGTCTCTTCTCCTAATAATAAACACAGTCAGTCAGTTAATGTGTGTATATTATTATTTTAATACGGTATAATACGTAAAATGATAATATTATTTTATTTTATTAATGATGTTTGTTTGTGTGTTGTTCCAGGTGATGCTGGTTTTTGTACCAGTAAGTCATTACAGCTGCTAGGATGGAATGGGTGTGGTCTACCGGTATCTTTTATCATGTGACAGTAAACAAAAATCAATTGTACGTTTTATTAATGTATTGGAATCAATAATTATTGTCCCTCCCTCTCTCTCCCTTCATCACTCTCATTCTCATTTTTTCATTCTCATTCTTTCTTATTCTCATTCTTTCTTATTTTTATTCTCATTCCCTCTCTCTCTCTCTCTCTCTTTTTATAGTCCTTGGTCCATTATGCCAGCTAGTCAACTTCAAAGCACAAGCTAATGTAAGCATATGTACCATATACATGTATCTGGTAATTATGTGTTTTGAATTTTTGCTTTTAAATGACATTTCTCTCTTTTTATTCTTTCTCTTTTTTATAGCTGAAAATTCTACATGATAACTTACAATCATACTGACTATGATTTTTGGTAATTTTTATTGTTAATGGTATATTATGTGTGTGTATTAATATTAGTATCAAATAACTCACCTCCACCAGTTAATAGTATTTCTTTTATTTGAGTGTATCCTCCTTCATTAGCTATCTCTACTGTTATGTTGTGTAGAAAGTTTGAGCTGATTCCGATTAAATTTAGATTTTTTATAAATATTTCAAGTTGCGGCCAAAGTCCCTGTACTAAGAGAAATGTCTATGAAGGGATCTTCCATTTTTTATGAATAATACAACTATAGAATACATTCTTTTCTCTCTCTCCTACATGTATATTTTTTTAAGTTTCTAACTTTTAGAACAAGAAACTTAAATTATTTAATGGGATATTAAGAATACATTATCTACATCTTATATTATACTGTATAGCACTTTAATTTGGCGGAGTTTTATTTGGTGATAGGTGGCAAGAGTACAT